TGACATCATGTTCATAGTTTAACTGCCACAATTGTATTTTAATAGCGTAGTCAATAGTTCTTGGGGAAAAATTGTTTTGACACAGGGTTGCCTAAGGCATTAGTATGAGTAATAATGAAGATTTCAGTTTTCAAATGAGTTTTGCCAAAATCAATTCTCAGTCTTTTATGTCCATCCTTAGCCAAAGCAGCAACAATATAGTAATAACCCTGCTTTACAGTTTCCAAGCCACTTGGATAACATTATCTTTAATCTGAACAACTTTGTGAGGTAGCTGGTGATTTTCAGCTTTTGGGAGAAGAATTTGAGCCTAATGAATTCTTTAAGATCCTATAACAAATGACAGAGCTAGAGCTTTAGCGCAGGCCTGTTTGATTTTAATCTGCTTTTTCTTCCACTGTATCCTGGTTGCCTACAGAAAAATGTAGAATACAGGAGAGGTATACCACTTGAATTAACTATGATGTGCAGTGGACAGTGTTTGTTTTATGTTTGCAACTAAAGTAAGTCACAAAAATTGCTAAAATCTTGAAAAATAAACCCTAAAACAATAACAGAAACAAATTATTCAGCTGCAGAAGCAAAAGCTGAAGAGCAATTTAATAATAACTCTTTTGGTCTATGAAAGAGTATTATGTAGGGAGGAGAGCCAGCCCAGCTGTTGTTAATCAACACTGAGGCCAGGCCTTGGGAGAAAAAGAAATGTTAAACTATAACAGAAGGGATAAGAAAAAAAAAATTTATAAGTATTGTTAAATACTGGATCTGTTAGAGACTGTGTTAAGTCTCCTTTTCTGGTATTCATTAAAAATTCCAGTCTTTACTAAGTGTTCTGAAGTATGATTCCCCCAGACAAGAGAGTTTTGAAATACATGATACTTCTGAGAAACTACTTTGTTCACCAATTTTTAACTATCAGTAAAGAACCTAAAGAAGAGATAGAAGTCTTCTCTAACCATCTAAGTTCAGCCTGATGTATCTAGTTAGTAGATTCATTAGCAACCAAACTACTTGTTAGTAGCATGTAAGTTCAGCAGACATTTGTTGAGCAGGTACTATGAACACATCCGTTACTTTTCTTGTTGCTGAGGCAAGATACCTAAAACCTAAAATTAAAGGAGGAAAGGTTTATTTAGCTCAGTTTATAGAGATTTGGTCCATAATTGGCTGTCTCCCAAGTCAGGGTGGCTTCGCAGAGGGGCATTACAAAGGAGAAGTCCACGGCAGGCAGAAGACAGCAAAAGCAAACACGGAAGGGACCTTAACAGGCTCTTTTTTTATCTTATCCAGGCCACGAACACTCACAATCTTAACCCTAATGCCTGAACCTAGTATTGCACCATGAATCAGTTACAGTGTCACACTCTAGATCCAGCCATCTCTGAAAAAAACAACAACAAAAAAAAAACACTTATGACTGCATGAGGCTTTGGGAGGACATCTAGACACAACCATAACACTATCTTACAGTTAATTCTATAAGATATTCATCAACTACAACTGCAACTATTATAATGCCAGTTATTAAAGACACATAAATGGGTACCACTGACCTTACAAAGTAAGCCAAATATTTCATCTGATACTCAACTAAAAACAGTATGTCTAATCCAGTACCAAGGAAATGGATGGAGAGAGTAAGGGGATTGGTACTACTTTTCTATTGATATCTAGTATACTAGTATGGTCAGACCTTTCCAAGAGTAGTTTCTTTTTTTTTAATCAGAGCTCGAACTCAGAACCTTGCGATTATTAGGCAGGTGGTGGAAATACTGAGCTAAATCCCCAGCCACTAGTTTACCTTATCTTGATGACCACTGAATATGAAATACACGAAAGATGCAAAGTTGTAGATACTGTTACAATAGAAGAATTTCTTGTATTTCCTGAGTAAAATTTTACTAGAGGAAAACTGAGATAGGTATGAAAGTCACTTTGTGTAGGTGTCAAGTGGTTTGAGAAATAAGTTTAAGAAAAGGTACTTTGTATTAGTCTACATTCAAAATTGGGAAAAGTACATGTATTCTCATGACTGAAGTCACAATACATATGGTTGAGAACTCAAGTGGCACAGGTAGTTGCTATGAGAGTGAAATATAGTAATCAGTGGAAATGGGGATCATTAAACAAGATTTCATAGAGAATATTGGAATGTGAAGCACAGATATAGTTTAGAGCACTGGAACTAGCTAAAAGGAAGATGGGCAGTTTAGGTCCATGAGAAAAGATACAAAGGTGGGACTGAAAATGGTCTGAATGTAAAAGCTCCATCGGAGAATGGTGGGGTATGTCATTATAGGGGTGGAGATAAGCTTGCATTCTCTGAACTTTATCCCAGGAGTAATGAGGTAAAACAGAAGTGATTTGTTAGCTGTGAGCAAATAATTTTATAGATTTTGGTTAGCTTATGCTGTTTTTAAAATACAGTAATCTTTGTTTTTTCCCCCTTCAGTTACATAAATTATGCAAATAAATTAGGAAAACTCATTAAATGCAAGAAAGTGAGAACAATAATGATCTTATTCATTTGTGTGTGTAATTTAAAATTCTTTTCCTAGTGAGATAGTTTTGAAATTTGATGTATGTCTTGAGAACCTCTGATTCAATACACCAATATTGTTACCCTAGTTATTTTTTTTTTCTTTTTTGCCTGCTGCTTTCCTTTCTAGACCTTAGTTTGAGTCTTTAACTGAAAGTTAGTCTTTATCTCTGTATCCCAAGTACCTATTGTGACCAGGATGTACTGATACAGTACTTATAAAGTTTGAATCTCACAAGCATTACTTAACAAAAGAAAGGGAAATCTGAATCCCTGAAAGATTTATAACCACTTCTGTGGATACAGAAATGAGAACCAACCAGGAATTAGTTAGAGAGCTGGCATCCAGCGTTGAGCTCTCTGTGTGATATGCAAAAATACAATGAATTCTGCATTGAAATATACTAGCCCTCTGGTTCTAAACATCACCCAGGAATGTGTTAGAAATAAAAATTCTTGGGTCCCACTCTAGATAAAAAATGTGGGGGATGAAGCCCAGCAATCTGACAAGCTCTCTGTGTGATTCTGATGAAATCTCAAGTTTGAAAACCGCTAGATTAAAGCAACAGTGAGACTGTATGCAGGCTTATGCTGGAGAAAGATTGAATATCCAAAGATATATGTATATTTATCATAGATATTTTATTTTTATATCTGTAAAAACTATGAGGATAAGATTATATTGTTACAAACAAAGCTGAATGTTTTGTAAATGGACAGGCTCTACCTATTTTGTTTGGAGCATTGCTTTTCTCATATTAGCATTTAATTAGATCAAGTAGACTTAAGATAGATTATTTCTACCAGGAGAGCCTCAGACTTATAAAAATCTACACCCACATTTTCTCACCCATATTCACATAACTACCTACTGAACTTTCCCACTTAGCGCCTCTTACAAGTCCCTGATGTCTAAAACTGCATGTATGATCTTTTCCTTCAAATTTTTACAACCTCATAATATTTCCTGTTTCATAGAATTACATAGTTACCCATTCAGTTTACTACACCAGTGTTGTGTTGTGTTTTACTTAATTTTCATCACATAATGTTAGTTCTACCACCTCATAGTTTTCAGAGGTACTTTTTTCCTCTTCATCCTCACTGATACTTTTCCAACCTAGACTATCATTAGTTTCTCACTAGATTATTTTAACAAATCTTAAGTGGTCACTATGCCTCCAGTCCTCACAGCCTCTTGATCCATTCTCGTGGAGGCCAGACCAAGCCGTCTAAAGTGAAAATCTGATTAGTTCTTCATTTACAGCTATTCAGTTATTCCCCATTACCTTCTCAATGCAATGCATCGTCTTTTTAGGGCCTTTAGGATCTGTCTTCTGTTTTCTTTTCCAACTATCTCTTGTTCTTATACTGCCAATCCCTCTGCTGTTATCTGTACTTGGAGTACTATTTTTACTAGACTGACACTGCTAATTCTTTCTAGAGGCTATTTACATACTGCCTGTCCAAGAAGTTTCCTCTGACCTTCTGTAGTATAGTTGTATACACCTCACCATAAATTTCCTTTTGTGTACTATATATTTCATCTTTCTGTAAATGCCTGTTATATAACATATCTTTGCTTTCCTCCACCTTCCACTCCAATAGATTATAAGTTCCACAAACATTAAGACTAATGTGGTATATCAGTATCTCTCAAGCATATTAACTGGTAGATAACAGATATACCACAAACTTAGTGAAATAAATATTAGCTAGTATTCTGGATATGGCAGTTTGGTAGTTTGAAATTGTTCTAAAGATTAATGAGTAAAATTTGTATTTCCCCCCCCCTTCCATCCTGTTCATTTATCCATTCATCTAGTATTTGTAGAATGCCCTCTGTGTACCAGAAACTTACTGAGTCTGCTGTGATACTATTGACATAATTATTACAACAGAAGGAAATTGACAATTAAAAAGTAGTTTATGTACAATATGCATAGAGGCCAAGGTGGAAGAAGGCATACTAAGGAAGCAAGTACATTTGGAGATTTAGGCAGAAAAAGAATAGGAATATGTGTCCTATGCAAAGAGAACAAACAATAAGATCTACAAGAACAAACAGTAAAATCCATATGAACAAGAGAACATGGCATTTTATGACTTTTTGCCATTGCTTTTGGTACTACACTGGATCTTAGCCAAAAGGCCAAGAAACGATTCTGTGTCATTGCTTTTGGATGGAAAGCAGTCTTTTGATACGTTTGGAAAGGTTTGTGTTTCAGAAAAATTGCAATGTGAAAATACACTGAAAGGAAAAGGTGGCTAGATCAATTAGATATAATCTAGCGGGGAGAGGAGAGCAGCCAGAGTTTAAAAAAAAGTTTTTTGGACATAGAGAGTGATGAATGCATTAGAAGAATACTTTGGACAAAGAATCAACCGTCCTTGGCAATGGTTTAGATGACTACCATGAGGAAAGAGAACTGTGTCTTTCTAATATCTTTCCTTTCTGTAGCTCCTGACAAGAATGAAGTAAGGATTTCACAAAAGAAATTGCAGCAAAGATCCCTACTGCCATAGCTATAGGCTGTCAAGTCTTGAAGGAGCTGCAAGAAGGGGAAAAGGTGAGCTCTCTTCAGAATGCATTTAACATTCATAGGTGGAAAATATCCCTGTCATATATCTACTTTGATGGAAAGCAGCATCAGATGACTGTTACTCATTACAACTATGACTTATTGCTCATTTTTCTTTTCATTACTTAAATTTATTAAGGATGAAGCTTTCTGCCATTTAGTCATCTAGGATCTACATCAGTTGAGGATTACTAGCAGAACAGATTTAATATAAAATATATATATGTATATGACACAAAGACTTCACAATGTAGGCTTACAGTGGCCACCTGCAGACTCAAGTGTGGAAAAATGCAAAAGGGCTGTCTGTATGATGGCAAATCCAAAGGATTTAGTCAAAAGTTGAAGACCTGGAGCTCATTGCAGAGCCCCACATGAGTCCATATCTGGAAGCCAAAGGGTCTGTGCTGGAAGCTGAAGAGTCTGCACTGGAAGGCTGGATATGAACATCCAAAGGTGGTGGCAACTTCATTAAGTCTGTCATTCAGCCACCCTCAGAACTGTGCTAAACCAATCTGCTAGGCATTTCTTTTTCAAATTGACACCATACTTAGCTCATACATCCAGGTAGGTATTATTGAAGCTTACTTTTTAAAAACCTCTGCTGTTGAACATACTGCAAGTTTCAAAAAATACAACTATTTTAGCATATACAGTGGTACCTTGGTTCACAAACTTAATTTGTTCCATGATTTTTTAAAAGATGGGTATGTTTGTGTTTGTGTGATAAAAATGACTGTGGTTATGTTTGTCACCCCATGGAGTTTGGAACAAAAGTGAAATTTATTTGTGAACAGAGGTACTACTGTACTTTTCAGTCTCTTTACCATCTAGCAAATAACATTCAACATCTTTTTGGTTAAAATCATAAAATTGTAAAATTTGTTTGTTTGTTTTTTGGTACCCGGGATTGAACTTGGGTCCTTGCGCTTGCAAGGCAGGCCACCGAACCACTGAACTAAATCCCCGGCCCAAAATTGTAAAATTTGAAAGGACTGTCGCAGTCTTTTTGTCTCTAGACCTTTATTCTGTAAATGAAATGACTTCTCTAAGATCACATGGCTAGCTAGTGGTAATGAACTTCCGTAGGATCTGTGCCTCCCTCTTGAGCGTTGTGTTGTGTTACTTTGGTGGACCTTTCAAAGGCCTTGGAAACATGCTTTAAGTTCATTGTGTTGAGACCCTGTCTCAGTTACTTTTCTCTTGTTGCTGAGCAAAATACCTGATACCCAAAGTTAAAAAAGAAAAGATTATTTAGCTCACAGTTTGTAGAGGTTTTGTTCTGTAATCACCTGGCTCCAAGGCAGAGTGTTACACCTGAAGGTCTGGTCTGCACACTTCGATCAACATCTCCCCATTTCTCCCACCTCCCAAACCTCAGCAACCATTTTACTCTTGACTTCTATGAATTACATGTTTTTGGATTCTGTATATTTAAGATCACACAAAGGACCTGTTCTTTTATGAATTTCGGTCATGGTTCTTATTTTTCAGTTCATTAATAAAATTTTAAGTATCTAAATTACTCTGTATACTTAGCTATAAGAATGAGTACTTTAATTGCATTGGCTTATCCATAATGTATTTTGAATCCATCACACTGAGGTGATCATTAATCAGCTTTTTATATTTCATTAAAAATGTTTCTCTTTAGTATTTGTTGCCTTGATGTATTTATGAAATTATCCTAGTATATACCTTTAATGTCATAGTTTTCTTTTTGGAAGTATTGCCTGATGTGTACATTTTTAACACCTTAGTAAGACTGTTATTGTTGAGATCTGAAATGACCGAAGGGGTTATACATGTGAAAAGCGATTGGATTATGGGAGCATTATAGCTGGCTTGTTGATAGGAAGTGGGATCTGGTCAGAAGAGGCCAACAGTGACCTCACCAAGAAGGGTTTGTCTCCCTTCCAGCTCCTTCCTTGGTATTTTTGCTTCTTTGACGCCATGAGGTGAACAGCTTTCTTTTGCCCATGCCCTTCTGCCGTACTGCCTATCATGCAAGGACTAAAATTTATAAAAATGTGAACCAAAATAAACCTCTACTACTCTTAAGTTGTGAATATTGGGTATTTTGTCTCAGTGAGGAAGGAAATTACTAAGACAGTGACATGTCTACATTTTTATTGCTCTGTGGTAGGATTCAGTAGTACTTAGTTTCTGGATTAGTACGATAGAATAATAGACATACATTGTTCATTTCTTTTTCTTTCTAACTTCCTTTATAAGCATAAAATATATCTTAGAAAGTTTAAGTGACTGGTTGAAAAATATACCTTTTAGTGAATAAAAGCACTGGAAATTAAACTGAGGTCTTAACCATCCATCACCATGTTCTGTATGGTTCATTATATTTGTTACATTCATAAATTTATTAGTCATGTTACTATGCTTTAAATCATCCGTAATAATTTTAGGATTTTAATGTCGGTACTAAAATATCTGATCAAGGGGCTAGAGTTGTAATTATAGCTTAATGGCAGAGTTTTGCATAACACATGCAAGGCGCTATGTTCAAGCTCCAAGTACCCAAAAAACAAAAATGGGATATCTTACCAGAAAGTATTACTTAGAAATATGTTTGTGGAAATGGGATACAACATTTCTTTCTTTGTTTATCTTTTTAGCTATTATCCCTTTCGTGATGAAGGCTTAAAAAAATAGCCACACAATAGGGGGGGATAAAATAAGTTCTCTAGGTTAGAAGTGATTATTCACTATACTGTTTGCACATTACTAAAGCCCCATCTTCTTTGTGCCGCGTGTGATTAGTGAATTCTAGTACATTTTCCAGATGTAAGTGGGGGAGATAAGATAAGAGTGCAACTGTTTGATGATGTTCCCTCATTGTATTTTCTTCTAGAGACCTTCAGAGAAGACATGGCGCCCAGAGAAGGGGATACTAAGAGTACAAACAGGGTGCTAAGAATAAGTCAGTTGGATGCACTTGAACTAAACAAGGCCCTGGAGCAGCTAGTTTGGTCCCAGTTTGCTCAGTGCTTTCATGGATTTAAGCCAGGGCTGTTAGCTCGCTTTGAACCTGAAGTGAAAGCATTGTTGTGGCTTTTCCTATGGCGATTCACTGTCTACTCGAAAAACGCCACTGTGGGACAATCAGTTTTGAATATTCAGTACAGAAACGATTTTTCCCCAAACCCAAGATATCATCCACCAAGTAAAAATCAGAAACTCTGGTATGCTGCATGTACCATTGGTGGGAGGTGGCTAGAAGAACGATGCTATGATTTGTTTAGAAATCGCCATGTAGCGTCATTTGGGAAATTCAAGCAATGTATGAATTTCATGTTTGGACTTTTGAAATTAGGTGAGTTAGTTAATGTTTTGATTTTCCTTCAAAGAGGAAAGTTTGCAACTTTAACAGAACGTCTCCTAGGCATTCATTCTGTATTTTGCAAGCCCCAAAATATCCGTGAAGTTGGCTTTGAGTATATGAATAGGGAACTCCTCTGGCATGGTTTTGCTGAGTTTCTGATTTTTCTCTTACCACTTATCAATATCCACAAATTGAAAGCCAAATTATGTTCATGGTGTATCCCCCTTACTGGTTCCCCAAGTAGTGACAGTACATTATTAACCAGTGGCAAAGAATGTTCTCTGTGTGGAGAGTGGCCCACCATGCCTCATACCATCGGATGTGAACACATCTTCTGCTATTACTGTGTGAAGAGTAGTTGCTTATTTGACACGTACTTTACTTGTCCTAAATGTGGCACAGAGGTACACAGTGTGCAGCCACTGAAATCAGGAGTTGAGATGTCAGAAGTGAATACTCTAAACTAAAATTGTTTCCTCTGAGGACAAAATGTATTTTCAAATCCTCAATATGAATCATCCTTACATTTAAATGTCTTTGATAAGTCATGTGTGCTTCTCAGCCACTATCTTCAGTTCCTTTCTAGGCAACAACTAAATTCTGACCACTGGTAAACATTAAATAGATTATGTTAATGTTTAGTTTTTTAAAAACACTGCATTTCATTTTTAATTTAAAAAATAATGGAGTTTTCTGTAAGATGACTATTAAAAATGTTCCTTAATTTTGCTTCTTCATAGGAAGCATTTGGACTCTAAAGATAAAGTATTTTGGAGACTTTGTGATGAGTGTGCCTTTATTTTCAGAGATGACATGATATCATAATATTAAAATGTGACTGATTATGTTTTAAACCTTTAAACTTGGTGCCACGTGTGATTTTAAGCTTTTCTGTGAAGCCAGTTTTCAAGAGGTTCGGTTTCTAGCTGTCAGACTCCTTCACAATTGACTTCTTATATTGAGAATGTAAAAGTTGCTTAAGACAGTTTAGAAGTGAGGCCTGAGGACCAAAATGGACAGCATATTAGTAATTCATGAAATATGAGTGGTCTTTCACATGGCAGTAATATAGGAATACATATCATGATGCACATCACTCGGTTTTTTCTACATTTTTGCAACAAGTTCTTGCTTAGAGGAGAAACTGGGTAGTGTATCTTACTTAGTATGTATAACATCTAAATTATCTACCTATTATTTAGTCTTTGTAACGTTCCTTTTTTGTTGTTGCTTTTCTTGCTTATAAGCTATTTGATATACCACACACTAATGGCAGGTAATCAATGGACTTATGACTGACTATGAGCCCCACGAGCTCATTCCAGGAGCTCTGCCTCACTGCAGATAGTCGAGCCTTCTGGTCAAGTTACTGTTAAAATCCTAGAGACTATTCTGTCCCTGCTGCTTTGGGCACTACCAGAAGACTCAGGGCTCAATGTTCAGGAATATTGGGTCACGTTTATAACTACATGATGGTTTTTCATTTTATCAAGAACCTATCAAGAATGTTTTTCCTTTGAAAAATAAAAACTTTGCACATCTGTAACCCCAGCACTTAGAAGGCTGAGACAGGAGGATCTCTCTGAGTTCCAGACCAGCCTGGGCTGCATAGTGAGTTCCAGGTCAGTCTCAACTACATAGTGAGACCCTGTCTCAATCAAATTAAAAAAACAAACTTTTGCACTTTTTGCTTCTTTTCCATACAGTTTATTCTACATGCACATTCTCTATTGTGTATTTAAACTATCCAACGGGCTTCATTGAGCATATCTGAATTATTATGGAATCAATCAGTGCTAACACAAGGCATGTCTTATTTCCTGGCTAAAAATTGCCCTGCTTTCGGTGATACGTAAAACCTTAACTTCCTCTTGATTCCATTTGTTTGCCTATAAAATGGACATTCAATAATTTCTACCTCTTAGATTTATAAAAGGAATTAAGTCATTCTTTAAAAAGTTATTTTTTTGAGCATCTGCAGACATTCTTCTCTGATACATTCATGAATAGAACAAGACCTCTGCTCTCGTGGAGTTTACATTCTTGGAAAGGTGATAGACAACAAATGTGTATAATATAATTTCAGAGGTTAGAAGTACTTTGAAGAAAATAAAACTGGCTAAGACCATAGTGACAAGGGACATCGTATGAAATTGAATGTTCCACAAGAGGCCTCTCAGAGTAAAACTTCAAAAGTCTTGAAGGAAATGGGGAGAAAGCCAAGCACAGAGAGGAATACCAAGATAAGGAAATGGCAGATGCCCAGCGTCTGAGCAGAGAGTTCTATTACCTGTTCAGATAACAGAAGGACATCATCATGAGCAAGAGAAAGATGGGAGAGGGATAAATATGAGAAAAGGAAAAAAATGGAACTAAAGTCTTTGTAAATAGGACTGGAGGCATTGAAGGGAAGGCAGGGGACTGGGGGAAAAATAACCAGTAAATATCATGTAAAGGTACAAGTTCCCAATGATAAGTGTCACCATATTATATACTTAAAATGTACCAATAAACAATGAATAAAAACAACAACAACAACAAAAAAAAATAAGCGAAGCAAGGGTCTATGGTGGGGATCGATGGGTTTATGCCAAGTATGAGGAAATTGTGGAACAATTTTAAAGAAGTGAGATGATCACATTTACATTTTTAAAGGATCACTAGATGATTTATGAAAAGATGATTAAATGCAAATTAAAGACTAGAAAAACAGTATGAGTCACAATTGTTATCTGTTAAATTTGCAGCATATCAGCAGTATCAGCCTTAAGAAACCTCAGTAGATTGATACACTTCATGACCAAAGATCTATTCATAGGCCAGTACCTTCAGTGCTCATTTAGAGGCTGATTTATTTTGAATAGGATTCGAATGAACATTCACCAACAGATTAAACATTACAGTTAAAAAGGAGCAGGGGGGCCAGGGATTTAGCTCAGTGGTGCCGCTGCCTGCCTTGCAAGTGCAAGGTCCGTTTGATCCTTGATACCAAAAGAAAAAATATTAAAAAGCATGTTTACAATTACAGTCAGTAATGGATGACTTGGTATTGAAGAAAATTTTTAAAGCCATATCCTTGTAACACAGTAGGAACACTCAGGCTCTGAAGACTGAACAGTAATTGTGGCTTAAAAAATGACCGTGGATTATCAATAAAGGTACCTTATGTTCTGTGTAATTTGATTAAGCAGGCAAGGAAATTAGTACTACTATATTTGAAAAAAGCCTTCAAACTGTGTTGACACTTATAGGCTAACTTGATTTATTTGGAACATTCTCTTTTAACAGAAAGCTCTTTTTCCTAATAGTACTCAGTAAGTATTATTGTATTAAGAAAAGATATCTTCAGTGACAGAACAATTCTAAGCATTCTTTTTAGGCGAACCAGTTATCTGTAGAATATGTGGTCTTTGATTCTCTGAATCAAATTCTAGAATATAATGTATGTTTATATAAACCTGGTATATGCTATTTATTTATATTAATAACCACAAGTAAATGAACAAGTATTTTGCCTTTGTCTTTTTCTTCAGAGTACGTAAATCATAAATCATGAAACGACAATTTGCCTTTATGTTTCCAAATAGTCTGTTATTTCCACTCTATTTTCATACACACACACACACACACACACACACACACACACACACACGGTGGTTGGGATTTTAAAATTAAACATTTTGTGCAATACCTTTCACTGAGTTCTGAATGGAGTTATTCTGCCAATTGTATTGAGTCAAACAAGGTTAATTACTGAGGTCAAAAGATACAAAAGTATGGCATTCTGTAGCTACTTTACTTTCCCTTGTCATAAAGAATAGAATAACTCATGCCTTTTCTAAACGCCAAAGCCAATAAAACAAAAATTTAGTTAGGTGAAACTAATTTTCAAAATCAGGTTGATGGGGACATATTTATCTCCCCAGAACCTTAAGAATCAATTCATTGAAAAGATGTTCAGTGCAGGACTATTATTTTTAAAGATATGAAAGAACAATAGTCAAGAAAAGTACAACTGTGTAGTTGACAAAATATTTTTATGCAAAAATATATCTTTTAAAGTGCTTATAAATATTAAAAGTGCAAGAAATAGAATACTAAAGTAAGTACAATCTCAAAAACTATAATAACTTTTGGTCTGAGGATTTAGCTCAGCGACACAGCATCAGCCTGGCAAACTTGAGATCCTGAGTTCAATCCCCAGTACAGAGAGAGAGAAAAAAAAAAAATGAAGTAAATACAGTCTCAAAAATGAGAAACAGGAACATTAACAACAAATGCTTCTCATAATTCAATTTTAATTTTCTTCGTACTATTTTGTTTCCCAGATTTTCTACAATGACTTGTTTCCCAGATCTACAATTTTAAATAAATTATTTCTTTAAATTCTCACAATCAATTTTGTTTCAGTTCAACTCAGAAATAAAACATCCACACAGCTGGTTAATAAATGTTGAGAATATGAGAATGAAAAGTCTAAATTGCTAAAGTCCTCATTTTTGCATGAAAATAAAGCCTTCATAGCCAACCAACCATAACTTGGGCAAGTCTGAATTGTTTCATGCATCTCAAATTACATATTAAATATCAGACTCCACACAGAAAAAAGTATATACACCCCTCTGGTGTTTTGAGATAGGCTTTTGCCTTTTAGTTCAGGCTGGTATTGTGCCTGCTGTGTAGCCCAAGCTGGCCAGAAACTTGAGAACTTCCTGCCTCCTCCGTCCAAGTGCTGAGATTACAGATATGTTACACCATGCCAGGCTGAATGCACCTTTTTTAAAAAAAAATCACTTAAAAGTATGCAGATCAAAAGAGTGAGCAGTTACTACTCCTTTTTTCCAAAAGTTCTTACATGGTATTTATAAATAAATATGAATTTCTTCTTTTAAAAGTTTGTTTACTTTAAAATACCTAGAACTAATAAACCAGATAAGAACACTTGAAATGGTAATTATTAATTGCCTAAACCTGCAAAATGACTGTATTTCCCCAGCGAAGATGTAAACAGAAATGCTGCCATTTTAGAGGTATTGTTAGGGTAGTTTGCCAATAATGCAAGCATGAAGTTCAGCTGGGATTTTATCTAAATAAAATTCATAATTAATGAGTATTATAGTTTAGATTTAAAATGACCCTGAAAGTCTCATGTGCTCAAAGATGGGGCTTTTGGAAGGTAGTTGGAACATGGAGATGCTATACTCATGGGTGGATTAGTCTGCTACGTTCATAGTTGTGTGTTGCATTAGGAGCTGAGGCATGGTTAAAAGAGATGGGTCCCTGGGGTGTGACCTGGAAGAGTGTATTCTTGTCCCTGGCTCCTTCCTTTCTTTGGGCTTCCTGGCTGCCATAAATTCAATAACTTTCTTTTGCCATGCCCTTCCACCATGCCGTTTCTGGCTTGAAGCCTGCTGACTATGAACTGAATCCTCAGACATCATTAGCCAAAATAAACTTTGGCAACATGAAAGTTACTAATACAATGGGACCAGAGGCTTTCTTGCTTTGAGGTATTCAGGATTGTTCCTGAAAATATGGCTCACTAAGCACTCAAAAAACTCTAAACTCTCCTGACTCTCAATTCTTTCAATCCATATCAATTTGTGAGTATTTATAGTCAAAAAATAAATAGTAATTTTCCACTAATGAAATTATGATTGTTTTAAAAAACAGACTCAGCTCCAGATCAAATATAAAGGACAAATACAATATTTTTAGAGTGTAAAGGCCCCATCTGATATTGCATTTATTCCTTCTTAGCATTCTTTCTCATATCGCATAGGTTCTCAGTTTTACTGGGTAAGACTCTCAAACAAAATAGTCTGTGAGCTTGGTGTGGACAGAGGCTGTATATTTCTCATTTTTTGTGACACCCCAACCAAAAACTGACTCAATATGGATGCTCTGTAAATATTTGAAGGCGAGAAAATGTTGGTCTGATTATCAAGGCCCTCACAAATATTGAGCAGAGCAACTTGGTAATGTGTATTATACTGGGGTGTTTTCCACATGTTTGCTATAATGGTGCAGAGAGGCGAGCACCCCAGTTTGTCTTTGTAGTGTGTCTTAGGAGTGCCATTTTTATTTTAAAATGTTCTGTGGCATTCTTGCTTTGAGGAAAAACACAGTTGGAACTCAGGAGCACAATAAGAGAATTAATAACTTTTCTTTGAAAATACATGCAATTTTGGAGCTGTCAATTTCAGCTATATCTCTTTAAATACTTTTTCTTCTAGAATCCAACTGGGTAGGTGATTTTTTTTAATTCCATTATAGAAGTAATAACCCTGTTCTGGTGTTTTGTAAGCAGATAATATTCTGCTGGTGACTGTCTTTGCAGTAATGCATTGCTCTGAATTCTGAATTCTATTATTTTACATCTACAGCAGCTTAAAGTGTCTTTTTTATAAACAGCAAACTTCACCTCATAAAAATTCATTACATAAGGGCATAAACAAGTGCTTTTCCTTCTAGTCATTGGCAGTAAGTGATTCATCAGTTTTCCACAGAAAACCAATTTCATTGCAGATGTTCTAT